GTAATACTGAGGAAACACATGCAATCTTTACTACCTTTCTCACACAATTTTTCTGACTCACAGAAGCAAGAGCCAGCACATCTCATGAATTTTCAGCACATCCACAACATCTGCCTCATATATCTGCCAACACTGTTTAATGACAGGTAATAATCATTTTACTTAAAAAATTCAAAGGCACATCAGATGTGTCCCCACATAGAGCACTCCCCTGACACAATACAGCTACGCAGGTACATCTCATCCCCACAAAACATGCCCTCATTAACTCCATCTCCCACTGTCAATCCAACAGCCTTTTGTGCTGCCACATGCACCTCCATTTCATACCCCTCTTCGCTTGTGCTTACCTGCAGCTGTGCTCCAGCATCATGACATGGTCCCATTTTTCCTCTCTGGGAGCAGGAGACACTTCCAGTACTGTAGAGGACTATCTTAACTGACCTCCAGGCTTTGGGGAAGAGAAAGGGGTGTTTTCCAGCCCCTCCCTGGCTGGAGGCTTTTGTAAGGTAGGGACCATGTCCACCAGCAGCTGCTCCACATGCTGCCCCTGACTGCAGTAATTCGGGCTTCTGCTGTTCCTCCACCTGTAACAGGGCAGCTAATCAGGTGTGATTTCCTTGCAGCACGGTTGCTTTCTGTTGTGAAGTTTCAGACGTCTGGTAGTCAGTGGCAAGCCCACAAACAACTTATCTACATGCTCAAATTATTTATGCTTACCTGGTGGGCATTGGTGTCTCATCTCTCTGTGCTTTACACCCTGGCTCTGACCAGGCTCCCACTTCTGTTGTTTCTGGGAAGGCGCCATGGGAAGTTTGCTCACAGCTGGGTCCTCCACATGAAACAATGCCAAGCTCCACATCAGACTGAAGCTCTTGCAGCAGTACCCAGGATAGGCTTTCTTGCAAAAGCAGGAGAAAAACTTCTCCCACACAGTTTAAGATATTCCATAGTGTGGTCACTGCTGCACTCAGAGTATGGAGGAGACTGTGCTCAGGGTACTCCCTGGGCTTGACCTCATGTCTTCCTTCACCCCAGATGAATGACTTAAACAGTAGTAGACCGGAAGAGCACTCTCCAGGGTGTGAGTGTTTCCTCTAAGAGAAAAAAACCACAAAACTATTATTCTCTCATACTATTTTGGCATGCTCTGTAAGACCAGGAATACCAAGTGATGCTTTTGGGAAGGCCATGGCTACCAGGGTACCAGCATAAACCGGAGAGGGAACTTCATCCTGTGTGAAAATGGACCAGAGAGGAGAGAAAGGGCAACACCCCTTCCTTTGTCTCTCCCTTTATAGTGGTGTCCTACAGATACTATATCCCCTTCATGCTTAATGGGTTAAACTGCTGAAAACAAAAAGCTTTCCATATTTACTGGTGTAATCTAAAAATATTTCAATTCTGCTGACAGCAAAAGCAAACACAGACTCCCAGAGGTTTTCTTCCCTTGCCAAAAATGGTGTACTGTGCCTTGGTTGGCTAACACTGCCCCAGATAAAACGAGATGAGTTGAAATAGCACGCTTGGCTTCCTATCCCCTCCCAGCCTCACTGTGCATGGCGCCTCTACCCTCTGCTCCTCAGCTGTTCCAGAAGGGCAAACCTCAGCTCCTATCCATCCCTCTACCCAGCTCTGCTGGCTCTGGGTGCCAGGTGGGCCCTGATGCCCCATGAGACTGAAAGAACAGACTCATTACATAGCATGGAGCACCCTCTCTCCACTGCCTCCCCTCTGTCCCCAAATTAATTAAAATCAATTTTATTAATTAACAATTCAGAATAATCCTAGATTTTACTGCATTTTGGGTATTTTTCATTGGGAAGATATAAGAAATGCTTGCTATAATTTACTTACTTCGAATTATGCTGGCATAGTTGTAGGGGCTTTTAGTTTACAACTGCTTGGGAAGTTAGCAGTTTGTGTTTGCTGGTTACACTTACAGCCTGAGACCTTTCTGGACAGCTGATTTATTTGGCCAACATAATCCCAGCTGTGGTTTGCATACTGAGTTTATGATTGCTAGGCTATAAGTATTCAAGTGCCTGAATGCTTGGTCTGGAAGGGAAGTGGTTGGGTGCCCCAGCTCTGACACAGCCAGGCAGTATCAGCAGATACAGCTTGCTTGCCTTCCTCCTCCTCCTCCTGTTTCCAGATGCAAACACTTCCATATTCGGCAATGTGTAACTACAATGGTTTCTTAAGGGGAAATCATCTACCTTGACAAATGCATTTAAGACTCTTTCTTTTGCTTCACATTTTAAAACACACATGGACTAGAGAAAAAATACTTCCATCTTATGTCTGCTGGCATGTCTCAAGTCTTGTGTTTAAAAATGCCAACAACCTCCCAAAGATTAGCTAATCATAATTAATAAAGACAATGAACTGGCATTGGAAAATGAATTGGCTCCCATGGGTAGGCAAGTGGACTGAAGAGGGAATCAGAAGCCAAGGTTCATGAGATTTTAATCCTGGATTCTGTATCAATTCCCTGTTCACAGAGGGACACTTAACTGCTTTGTCTGCTTTATTCCCTTCTGAATGGGATTAGACATTAGCTTAGTCACTGTGGTGTTTAGGAGATTAATTAGCTAATTCAGCATCTCACTCTAATGATGTAAAAATTTTAAAAGCTTCACTGGAAAGCTTTGAAGCTGTAACTTAAGAATTATTGCTCATTTATGATCTTTTTTTAACACATCTTGGAAGAGTTAAATATAAGGCAAGAGGGGAGTATTTTGATTTTAATTTTAAAAAGAGACATGCATTTCCATTTGGCAAGATTTTACATCCTGATGGGAAAACATAAACACCCAGTCTCTGGTCTTGCCTCAATCCATATTTAATCTCAGAGAGTGCTGCGGTGTAACTTTGCAGACCACAGTTTCAGGAAGCATGAGGAAATATTCCAGGCTTCCTTCTGCTTTGGAGAAACTATAAAGGAAAAAAAAAGTAGGTGAAGCGGATCAGAGATCTCATGTAATCCCACATGGAAGACACAAAAGACAGGGAAGACACAGCCACAGAGCGAAAGCCTTTCTTTTAACATGCAGTGGGGAGATTTATACAACATCCTTTGGGATTAAAATTCTTTCCCCTTTTCCTCTGTGGCAGACCCCTTTTTTGATGAATAAGAGAGTGAAACCATGTCTGTGAAAACTGAGCATTCAGAGGACAAAGACTGGCAGGGATTTCTCATATGGGAGAAGACGCTGCCCCTCTCCCTGATGGTGATACTCTGCCATAGGGCTGCCTCCCACCACCTCAGCAGTGCTCACCCACTCCCCTCCGCCACAGTGCCGCTCCACGGCTGCTCCACACTCAGCTCCGGCGTGTGGCAAAGGGAGCGGGTGGGAGTATGAAATCAGTTTGAGCCAGCGGCAGGAAGATGAGTGGGGTTTTAGAAGCTGGTGGAGAGTTAAGAAGATGCTGGCGCTAAAGTCTGCAGAGGATGGTGAGATTAAAATAGGCTGTAGCCAGCCCTCCCCAGCATTTCAGCATCTTAACTGCCTGTTCTCCTCGTGACCCACTGAAGAAGAGGCAGAGATGGGAGAGATGATCTCTTCCACCTCCCTGCCAATGCAGGACAGAATGGTGTTTTGCTCCTAACCAGGTCTTCTGAAAGGGTGTAAACCAAGTGTTTCCTTCCTGCCTTCAGCCAAACCAAGGGACTCCCTCTTTCCCCTGAGTTCAGCAAAGCACTTTATGCATCAAAGATGAGTTCATTCATTCACATCTTACAGGTCACTTGAAAGCTTCCATCCTTTGAAAGGGAAAAGGGCAATTTTTGTAGTAATCACTTGGACATCATGCTGCAGGATTTCTCATTCCAGACATTCACCAAGGAAAGCATTTCACAGAATTACATTATCCAGTTCAATCCATCGCCTTTGTACCTACCTTGCCAAAGCTGTATTTATATTAAAAAAACCCGAACCAAACCAAAACCAACAAAGACAATTCATAATGGTAAGAGGTGATGAAATGCATACTTAGATTAGGTGACTGAATCTCACAGCCAACAGCTCGTACTTTATAGGGGTCAGAAACAGTTTCTTCTACTCTTTGCCAGTACTTTGTATTTCTGCAGGTTGGTTGGGGGACAGACAAGTCTTCCCTGAACTGTGGGTCTCAGCTAGCCATGGGCACAGGACATCGGCTGCAAATAAATGATCAGGCTTGTCCAATGTGGTAAATTCAGGAGAAATTTTTGCAAAGACTACTGTGGTGTAGTTTTTCCCCCCAGCTTTAACTTTCATACATAAGTGAGATCCCTCATCTGAATTGTTTTAGGAAGTCTGAAGGGTTTTTGCAAGTTTCATAAGTTGGTCTCAAGTGAAGCCAAGAGCTGCAACACGAGATCACCTGGCTCCGGTGCTGGTTTAGCTGCTTCCGCTTTGTTAAAACATGCTCTCAGGTAACAGTTTGTGAGTGGGAAAAGTGTTGTGTAAAGATTCAGTGCCTTGTTAGCACCCCTTTTTTTTGTGTGTGACCCTTCTAGAGCAGTGTCGGTGAACAGCAAGAGGCTACCAGAAATGCCAGAGACCTACAACTTTCTAGAATCAGTTCTGCTCTAACTCTGAGTGCAGTTTTCCCTTTTACAGCTTCTGTGGAGTAAATATTCTCCCCAAGAGAGAGCCACCAGGCAGGAAAATAAAAGATAGATTGATATTTCCACAAACAGCACTCCTTTGTAAACTGCCCACCATATGTAAGTGGTTACTGTTGGGTTGCGGGGAAAGAGCCAAAACCCAAGAAGTGTTTTTTCTGTCCTGGTTTTTCAAGTATAAGTGTTGGTGTAATTCAATGGGAGACACTAGTATGTTCAAGAGTGAGATGGTTATGCCTCCATTTGCCCTCCTGCAAAACGTTTCCAGCTTTTCAGCGTCGCAGTGGGAGCACAAGAAGCGGGATGCTATGAGAAGTGGTTCTAACAGAAGGAATTTGGCACAAAGCTGTGGCTTTCACTGGGCGTTTTGTTGCTGCTCTCTCCCTAGGGACATTTGTATCTGCTTTCACCGTGCTGTGTGGAGCCCGGACTGACCTCCCCGACAGACACATGTGTTGTGTCTTCTGGCTGAACATTGCCGCCGCTCTCATTCAGATCCTGACAGCAATCGTGATGGTTGGCTGGATTATGAGTATATTTTGGGGGATGGACATGGTCATTCTCGCAAGTAAGTACAGTGCACTCAGCCCCCTGACTTCTCCTCTCTGTGGCCGTGTTTCTGGCTCCCAGCTAATGCCCCTGCTGTGCTATAGGGTAGGAAACTCACAGGATGTGCTCTGCAAGTCCATGAAAAACACAGTAGGCAGAGGAATTGCTGGGAGGCAGCTGGGATGGGCCCTGTGACACATCTGGAAGAGTTGCCCATCCCACCATGCGGGTTAGGATCTTCCTTTCCCCTTTATAAAATGAAAAGGGCAGTAAGGGGTGAGGCCTCCAGAACTCTGCTGTCTGGAGCCTGTTCTTCTCTGGTCGCACCCAATGTGTGTGTTTGAATGGGAAAGCCCTTTCTCTCTTGTTACTCTGGTTGCATCTCTCCAGTTAGCAAGACCTTCCCGTCAGGCTGGTTCTGCTCTCAGGGACCCTGCAAGGTCAGCTGTCTCCAGAAAAGATCTGGGGACTCTCCTGGACCCTTCTTCCTCCCCAGAATCCATTTACCCAAAGGCTTTTTTTCATGTTTCACATCAAGGTCTCAGGCTGGGCAGGACTATTTAGCTATTTCTAGAAGGATTTCCTCTACACCCTTTAAGGAGCCTCCAAAACATTGGTCTAGGGGAAGAAGAAAGGAATCCTTTTTAAAACATACATAATTTAGATCACTCAGTTAACTATGTATAACCAATTTATACAAGCTCGGTAAGTTATCTGTAACTCAGATACAAACTCTGTAACTTTTATCTGCTAAAGACTTACTGACAAAACTAAAGTGATGCTTCATTTTGCTCCTGTGTCATATCACAAAGAACAAAGGTGACAGCCTTACCTCACAACTCATGTTGCTGATTACATCTGCAAGACCCCACTCCCTTTCCAAAGGCTGGCAGAGGCCGGTGGGCATTACTCCAAGCCAAACAGGTCTGAGATCCTTCAGCCTGGCAGGGCAGGCAGTTCCCAATTCAAGCATTTCTCCTGGAGAACATATTACCAGCAGCTTTTTCCCTTTTTATTTTAAGAGGCTCTGTTTTGTCATCTCTGCTGATGACATCTATGGCTGTGTGACAGAGTAGAGCGGATCTCAGGAAATTGCCAGGCACCCGCCTAAAGATTAAATGGATAAAGTTGAAAAAAATAGCAGGAAACCAGTGCACACCTTCAGCAGCCAAACCCAGGGGTTAAACCCTCTCACCAAACAACCTGCTAATTTCTGAGCCAGCTTCAATTTATAGGCTGAATTAAGGGCAACTTCCATGTAAGGCAAATTATAGAGATGAAAAACCTTAACATGAGCGAGGCAAAAGGCTCTCCTCAGGATGAAGGCAGCACTGCCCTTCATTTTTCCCTGCAAGCCACCTGCCAAGTTTCATCTCAGACGTACCTGCACATCAGGGGTAGCCTGAGTTACTTCTGAGAATAAATTGTGAGTCGGTGTACATCTGTAATGTGTCTTTAAGAACCTGCCCAATTTGTGTGTAGTCCCATACTTACATGTTCATAATCATATGCTCTTCTGCTATTCCTCTGCTGGACAGCCTCTGTGTGTGGTTTGCTGTCTGGCAGGACCCAGTTCTGTAGCTGTGGGGAGAGGCAGGAGAGCATCTGTCCAGATAAAGAGGTACAGCTGAAACCATGACTTGCTTTTCTCCGTAGTCCTGTTCATGTAAGTCCTCCAGGTAGAGGGGCTGGGGCTCAGGAGGGTCTTACTGGTTTTCCAGATTATCTGCTTGGGGAAAAGATACACAGCGTGGAAGTATCTCCCCAGTGCTGTTCCCCACACCTGGCTGGACCCCAACAGTTCAGTTTGGGAGACAGAGGTGGGGATGCTCAGGCCAAGAGGTCCCTGACCACAGTAACAGCATCTCATCACAGCTCCTTTGGTGGCAGATGAGAAGGATAAGAGTAGTCAGTGTGTCTTATGTTAGCCAGCTGTACATAATCTGACAAGTTGCAGCCCTTGGCAGTTTCTTGCTGTCTCATTAAATAGCTGGTTTTAAGTTTACTTACAAGGCAGAAAAAAAATAATGGCTAAATAAAGCAGCTCTTCCCTGAACAGAAGTGGTCAATTGCTCCCAGCTGGATCAAACAGCCCTGTCTGACTCAAAATGGTATGTTTTTTTTCATGTTTTGTTTTAATTTAAAAAAAAAAAAGTAATAACTTAAAAGTGAAACAACTTTTCAAATGCAAGAAATAAGACATCTCATTTAAAAACATTGCCAGGAGATGTTTTGCTTTGGCTTGGTTTTGTTTGCATGCAAACAGAAACAATTTGCTGCACTTGACAGAAATTGTATACTGTTACAACTCAAATCTGCATTTAGGTGGGGAAGTTAAAAAAATATTAAACCACTGCCCACCTCTAGTCTTCCTCACTGTGAAATGGCTGTTTCTATGCTTCCCTGTAAGGGCGCAGTACGATTTTCACGCCAAGGCAAGGCAGAGCAGGTGGTGTCTGAGCTGAGGCAGGGCAACAGCGAGAAGGGCAGGAAGCAGCCAGGACTGGGGGACTTGGCTTCTGCTTTCCCTGAGGGACAAGTGCCTTGCTCCCTGGATCAGGGCCTGCCTGTGTATTAGCTGGTAGAGGGCTGGGTGGCAGTTAGGGAGGCTCCTTGCAGTTTTTCATGCTAAGTCTCAGCCATTAAAAGGGGGAGCCTGGTCCGAGGGGAGAGCTTTGGGAATAATGTCACGTTGTCTTCAGTGAGGGGATTATAGGCCAATCAGGTATACATCAATTCCTGGAAGAAGTACTCAAACAAGTCATTTGAGTGCATTTAGAAAATAAAAGGAAACAAAGTGAAGCTAGGTTTGTCCAGAGCAAGCTGTGTCAGACTGGCTCGATTCCCTCCTGTGGCAGAGGGATTCACTTTGTGAGTGGCAGCAGCAGGGGCCATCCCTCTCGACTTCCAGACACTGACACCATCTCACAGAGCATTCCTACCAGCAAGCCAGGGAGACATGGCCTGGGTGAAATCACATTTGAGAACTGTTCTCTAAATGCATTTTCCTGAACTAGAAAGATCCGAGAAGTGTTTTGAAAAGTCCCTCTTGAGTCCAGTTCTGTTCAGTATTTTCATTCATGGCTTGATGATGGATTGGAGAAGGGACTTACCAGCCCTGCTCCACTGGCAGCTGCATGGATGGCAAGCACAGTGAGAGCAGCATCGGGATTCAAGCAAATTGGAGAAATGGTCTGAAAAAATAAATAATTGCTGCTCAGTAGAGAAAGGTCCATGACACTAAGGAAGGATTAATCAACTGCATAAATACATGCTAGAGAAACAACTTGTTTTTCAGAGAAGGATGTGGTAGCTGCAATGAGTCACAAGCTGCACAGGAGTACATAGCTGCAGAGGGAACATATAACACCCAGGCAGGTAGGAGCAGAGCCTGTAGGACATTAACTGGTCCCCTCACCTTTCTTGGCATGTGTAAAGATAAGGCAAAGCTTGTGGCCAGCTTTGGAGCCTGTACTTCATGTGGGCAACCTGGCGAAAGTCCAGAGGACCATGAGACAGCAGGCAATGAAGTGTGTCAGTGGGCTAGTAAACGTGAGAGGGCAGCAGTTTAGCTTAAGACAGACTTAAATAACAGCAGGGAAGATCTGTATGGAAATGAGGAGGCATTTTTCCCTCTAGTAAGGTCAAAATGCCAAAGAGGTGGCATGGCAGGATGTGCCTTCCCTGTCACTGGAAGACGGCAAGAACAGGTAGACCCACATCTGTTGGGAGCAAGGTGGGACTCGGGAAGAGACTGACTGACCTCGGGGGATCCCATCCAGCCCTCACCTCCTGTGAGGTGCCCTTTAATGGGTTACATCCCAGAAGAAAGATTAACTGAATGCAGTTTTGCTGTCACACTTAATTACTCTTGGCAGCACAATGGCATGGGGCATTTTCTCTGCTAATTTAAATGAATTGCCAGCTGGCCCCTTTAAACACCACAGATATCTTCTTTAAGCAGCCATATGGCTTTGGGAACTGTCCTTCACTTCATCTGCTGTCTGAAGGCAAAGGTAGATTAAAAAGAAGCACTTAATGTTGCAAAAAAATGAATCTGGACCCTCCCTTTGCTGCTGCAAATATCCAGCTGCCCTTGGTGGTGGCTGGGTAGCGCTGCTGCTCCGTGCTCTCCTTGAACCCCTGGTCATGGCTGTGGGGACAAGGCAAAACAGAGCTAATTAGCTGGCCAAGGCCAACTGGAAAATGAGCCTGCTAAGGCTTTCTGGGCATGTTTCCTTCTGCTAATGGCACACCTGGTCCCCATCCCATGCAGTACACATCTTTATTAGCTCCGTTGTGCAGAATGAATGCAGGGGGATGGCCTTTCCAGGAACTCCCTAACTGCTCAGAGTTTGTTATAAAAGGTTTTGAGCCATTTCTTGACAGAAATACCACAGAAATCAATACAGTAATGTCACAGTGAGGTGGCACAGAGGACAGAAGTTAGGGACTGTTTATCCAGGCGTTGTTTCACCTCTAATGAATGCAGCCAAGAAGCCAAGCCTGGTTTCTGAAGGAAGCCTTCGCTGAGCTTCTGGCCTTTGAATTAACACCTTGTGTGGCTGTGCCTATGAACGAGCAAAGGTGCCATCAATTGTGGTTTTACAGGAGAGGGACTCCTGTTGCAGCCCCTGCTGCTGCAGTGGGCAGCTGACTCTCAGGGGCTGATTGTCAGCCAGTAGTAAGAAATTACCTGTAATCATGCTGTCCACTTGTCAGTCCTTTGCTAATTACAGTGCTCAGACCTTGCCAGAAGCAGCAGAAGCCGATTGCATGGTTACTTTATGTTTAGACTGCGAGGGACTTTGGAAAGCATCACTGAGCCTTTCTTTTCTGCAGGGCCCCTGTTAAGGCAGGTAACGCAGCTGCCCTGGGAAGCAAAGGGAGGAGAAAGCACTTAAGAGACTTGGAGGAGAACAACATCCTAAACCAGCTGGTAACCCTTCATGAACTGAAGGAAATTCTGAGCACAAATTTCCCACTTAGACCTATTTTTTATTTGTAATCTAAATAGAGCCATCCCCCAAACTATGCCTGAGGAAAGCAATTAAAATAACCTTTTCTGCAGTTTCCTACCAAATGCTGCAGTAGGGTAAGTTCTTAAAATAGTGTAGAAATGTTAAATACCACCAGGGTTTGCAGCACCCAGCTGGCCTGAGGCATGCCGTGGTTGTGAGTTATCTGTGGGCACAAGCAAACTCAGCAGCAAAACTGCCAAAAAGCCGTCAGGCATAGTTTTCCCAGCTCTTAGACTGGCATGCCATGCCCCATCTGGTATGCCATGATGTCTTGTTTGCCACCTTCCTTTAGTGTTTTTCCTTTGGTCAAACCTGTGAAATAGCAATATTGTGGTGGAAAGTGTTTGTGGGAGCATTGCTCAGAGGTGTTGGTCCATCCAGCCTGTCCAGTTCCGGGCTGGTGAGCTGGAAAGCATATGAGGATTCCCCCATCCTCTTTAAACAGGATCTCCAAATGAAATGATTCACCGCAAATAAAAGGATTTTAAATATTGTTTAGCCCTGGTGTGAATGTCTGATGGCAGTGCAGCTGTCCTCTGTTTACCCTGCAGCCCAAATTTATTTGTTCTTTTCTGGTTCTCCGTGTGTTTTGGATATATCGTCTACAGTTACATTTCTCCCTCTCTCTTTCTTCCATGTTCCTTTGCCTCCTTTTGTTCACCATCAAAGTTTCACAAGGTAAGTTTGTTTCTGTTCTTCCTCCTCCTCACACCCCATGTCAGCTCCCCCCACAGAGCAGCGAGCGCTCAGCCAGGGTGAGACATTTGGGATTCACTTTGGCTGGTGCTGCCCGCTCCCAGCCCAAGGCGTGTACCTGTACGTGCGTGTGTCTGCCTGTCTCTGTGTCTGTCCTGTGGCCGCACAGCCCCGGGGTTGTGTTCTCCACCCAGCATTGCAATGCCCCTTGGCATCCTTGGAGCAGGGCAGTGACCTGTTTCAGCCTGGAGAGCATCCTGAGGCCACCCTCTGCATGAACCCAGTCCCAGCAGGACAGCCTGTGCACAGACTGGTTTCTTCTTGCCTGAATGTTACTTGCAGTGGTTTACAGAAGAAGTGCAATTTCAAGCAAACTTGATTAAATCAGAGATGTTGCGTTGCAGATACTCAGACCAACCTAATCTTGATTGCACCTTAACTGTATTGCAGGCATGCTAATGTAAAGGTGCTTCATACAGAATAGCTATTCCTGTGCAAGAAATGCAATAACTATTTTAATATATAAACTGTTTAGTAAGTTAAGTCAGAAGTATTTTAATAAAGAAAGTTAGCAGAAGACAAGTCATCTTTTGGCTTATTTTGGTCATGGAAGGAGATACAGGCTTGGCCTCTGTAACTGGCTTCCAGCCAGCTTCAAAACTGATAGCAGGACTGAAAGGAATTCTATTATATCTTAATAAAAGGCATGGCTATGCAAGCAAGTTACTGTAAGCATAACCTATCTTGCTTGCTTTAGCTAAGGATTTATGTTATGCCCCAACTACCTGGCCCTTGTGGTTGGTTTTGTTTTTTTTCACTTTGCTCCCTAAACAGATGCTGTAGACAAGCCTGTATTACAGGTTTCCAACCAGCTCATCTTGTCTTCAGAGCTAACTCAAACTTAGAATGTAAATGCATAAGAAATCATCATTTTTCCCCCTAGAAAAAGCTGTTTGAAAGAGGTGAGAGTATTGCTGTTCAACTGCATGCGATACTTGCTGATAAGTATTGTTAATCTCCTCCTCTATTCCTTGTGCTCACGTAGCAGCAGGAGATCCAGACTGACAAGCATAGGTGAATGCGTTGATATTTTCCAAAAAAAAGTTCATTTACTGGGACGAATTCTTAGTTCAGCAAAAAGTCCCTTAAAAATAGGGGTTGTGGCACCTGCTGGTATTTTGTGTTCAACTTTTCTAAGAGACTTAAAAAAACCCAACATAAGGGTCGAAAAGAAATGTTTTAAAGCATTAGTGGAAAAGTGTTTAAAAAGTCAAACTTTTTTTAAAGATGTGAAACTTCAGACTCATTTGAAATTCAATATCTAAAAATGACAGGCCACTTATGTTATTTAAACAAAGAAAAACACCTCTGTATTTTTAAAAGGTTTCTAGTTGGAAGATCTCCACTATTGCAGGCAGTGCTGGTAAGGACAGTTAGTTTGCTTCTTTTAAAAGGAGATCTTTTGCATTGATCCTATCATAACAATCCCTGCTTCTCTTGAAAAGAAAGCAGGTAAAGCTTCTGGTGTGGTCATTGCAACCACCTAGAAAAGCGTTTTAAAAGACTCAAACAGTATTTTTCTCATTATCCTGTGTCAGCATGAGAGCTGTGGGTGCTCTCCTCTATTGCCCTTCCCTGCCCTAGACCCCTGAGGCTAGGAGCCCTCTCCTACGGGATTTGCAGATTCCTCTCAATCACTGTGTACAAGGTAGCAAATAAAGTGGGGCCCCAGTCCCCCAAGGGACTGTGACGAGCAGCAGTGCAGGCTGTTTTAGCCCTTGCAGCATCCATGTGGCTGCAACACAGCAGGGTCTCACTGTCTGCTGGAGCCAAACATGAGCCAACACAGAGCCCCCACTCACACTGAGAGCTTTGCTGCCTTGGTCTGGAGGTGCATTAGATCCCATGGCTGTCCCATGGCTGGGGGATGAGGAGGGCAGAGGAGGAGGGATCCAGGCAGTTTCCCAGTGCAATTGGTTTTGCTGCTGGAAAGCTCCATTTTTGCCAGTCCCGCCAGACAGTTGCTGCGTGGTAACAAGAGCACCTGTAGTTCTGCTGGGCTGGAGCAAAGCAAGTGCATGACAAGGCAGTGAGATTATCATTAGGGAAAGGGCCCACGGAGGCATCCCGAGGTCTGTGTTTGAACTCTGACATGTCAGCCTGTGATTAAAGGTGGCTGCCTCCTCCTCCTCCAAGAGATGTTTGTTCACTTCTGCAAACCGCAGTGCAGATTGGTTGCTGCTGAAGAGCTCTGTTAGCAAAAGTCAGCACAGGAACTAAAAGGTGAATAGAGGAAACCAGCATCCTCCTACCTTGCAGTCATCTAGAAGGACGAGGTTCAGAGGTAGATCGCAAGCAGAGATGCGTGTCGGATGCACCACCAGCATCTGCCAGGTCAGGTCTTGAGAATAGCAGTGTCTCTGAAGTACCCAAGCATACAAGTGCATGCATTTCCCCTACACTGCAAAAAAGCCACGCTCCAATACAGAATAATTTAGGCAGAAAATACAGTATTTCCTTGTAGGCATTAGGTTATTGGACTGTACTGGAATTGGTAGCCACCAGTACCTACTGCACCTTTATAACCTCTTCAAGCAGATGTGCCTCGGCCCATGCTGGAGCTGGTGGCAGGCAGGCACCACAGCAGCAAAGCTGGTAGCCACATCACCATGCCCAGAAAGGTGGCTGCACCCCACGGGTGCACGGGGCAGGTGTTGGCTAAAGCAAGGCAGGGCATCTCACCGTGCTGAGCCTGCCCTTGGGTAGCCTGGCCACAGGGATGTGCCAGCCCCTCTGTCCTCCCATGTGGTTTGCCATTCCTGGTAAACCACACTTATGGCTCACTTAAGCCTCGCCGAGGGTCCTCATTAGGAATTAACACTAATGATGTTCCCTTCCCCTCCCTCCTCACAGGCTACAAGGAACAGGGGATCCCACAGCAGCTGTAGTGGCTGGGACAAGTATGTTCAGAGAAACACGGCAAGAGATTTCCTTTGGCAGCTGTGGGCCATGGACCTTTTCATTACCCTTTGTCTTTCTTCTTCTTCCTTTTGTTTTGTTTCCTTCTGTTTTGTTTCCTTCTGTTTGAACCCGGTTCATCTGCCCGTCCAGCGGAGCGGAGGTGCAGAGCAGCCAGCGGAGACTTGCACTGATCCCATTGCGCAGCGGAGATGGGGCAAGCACGGCATGGGTTAGGACTGGTCCCAGCCAGCACGTGGTGGGTAGCTGATGAGGAGGAGAAGGGTGCCAAGAGAAGAAAACACCCCTGGCGAAGGTGGCATCTGGGCAGGCAGCTGAGCCGGGGGAGCGGGAGTTGCTGCTTTCTCTCTCCTCCCAGGGGAAGTAGCTGAAGACATTTTGCCTCCTTTTTACGCTCACCATTAAAGGAAACTGGCTGTGAACGTCAGATGCCAAGGAGCTATTAATAGATATATGTACAGTATGTAAAAGTAAACCAGTGGTACTTTTTCCCCACCCTGAGAGTCCATCTTGACTGCTTCGCAGTAGCGGAGGGCTCAGTCCAGCCTCCTCTGCTGTCTGTGTATATATGATGCTCAGTGAAGCTCTGTCCTTGCAGATGTCTTGAGAAATGTGCTTGCTGTAAATGGTATTGTACTGCTGAACTGATCGGGGCTGTCCCCTGCTTCCATCTGCCAGCACCATGCGAAGACCAGACCCCCCTGCTGGCCCCTGGCAAGACTTTATCTAGCAAGGGACCGGCGCCCCGCAGCGCCTTGCCTCTAGGGTGGCGGGCACAGCCATGTGCTGTCAAGAGCTTCTAGTGTAAAACAATACTAGGGGAAAGGAAAAAAAAAACATTAAGGAAAAAAAAGGCTTTTCCTCCCCTCCTTCTGAAAGGGCCTTGCTGGCAGTGCCTCCGTGCTTTGGAAATGGATCCTCTTACAGCGCAGCGTGTCCTACTGGCTGAAGCAGTGTCCCTGCTCCCCTTCCTTGGGGTAAGTGCCCAAAGTGTGAAAATCTGGTGCTAACCAGGTACTTGGTAGTGATCGTAGTTGGAAGGCCCATGGTCAAATGGGCTAGGGCTGTGTTTTCAGAATTTGAGCACACGACGCACAGAGCTAAACTGGCTGTTCAGGCAGAGTGATCCCTGTGATCCTGGCTCCTGTTTCTGCAGGGTGAGGAGCTCAGCCGGACAGACCTGGTAGCAGCACCCAGCTGCTCTTTCCATCCGAAAAGGTGACAGGAGTAGCTCTGCCAAAAAGAGCGCAAAACCAGTCTGCTGCTCTTGCTCAGGGAGGGTCCTCCCAGTGAGAGGAACTTCACACAAACCCACTGCCAAAACTGGGAGCCACCTGAGCATGATAGAGCTGAGAGCACTGAGGGTGGAGGAGAGCCCTACTCCAGGGCTAATGATAAAGCTTAATCCACAGTCCCAGCTAACCTGTGGTGAGACAGGACGTGTCCAAATCATGCAAGTTTATCCAGCGCAGGCATTGGAGCTGATGACAAACCTTTTTCACCCCACCCCTTGATGACTGTGCGCTATAAAAAGCTTTGGGCTGCCTGACCAGGAAAAAGGGGCAGAGTTGGGAGCCTTGGGACCACCAGTCTTTGCTGCAAGCCAGGAGAGTGCTGGCTCGAGCCGTTCCTCTGGTCTCAGCAGCCTTGATTGGAAGACCAAATAGGACCCATAGGATAAGGATGCAAATTTGTAACTCAACCAACTCATCATATATTTTACCAAGCCAGACTTCAGCTAGGGCAGTGTATTTTGCAGACATTTCTGCACGTGTAAGTACTACCTGGTGTGTGAGCATGGTGTGTCTGAGCCAACTCGCTCTGCCAGATGCCTGCAAAACTGCACAAGGCCTTCTGAGCACATTGTATGATGCCTGTAGTCTATGGGAGACATATGTTTAAACTGGCTCTGGCACACACTTAGCAAGAGGAGAGGAAACAAATAAACATGAAGTGGATTTATAGAAGACCATTCAGATTAAGTTTAAAGCAGTATTTCACAGGTCCTAGCCAAATATTAACAGTATCACCCTGCATATCTGTAGATGACAGGTTTTTTTGCTGTAAAGCGGAGAAACAGCAGATATGCAGTAAGGTTAAAGTACCCTACACCAAAGCAAACCCATGGCAGAACCACAGGAATAACTCAGGCTGCATTTCTCTTGCCTCGCACCCTAAACAATGGCTCATATGGCCTATGCTGGCCTGCCCAAAATGAGTATTTAGCAACTACCCTGTATCCAAATGGGGATGCTGAGCTCAGCTTTTAGGGCTGCTCTACAGAACTTAAAGATCCATAACATGGTGCAGGCAGGAAAGCTGCTCATTTGTAGTTTTAGAGGGAGACAGATGAAAAAACATAAGGGCTGGAAGTGCTGAAGAGAAAAGCAGTGCAGTTATCCTGCCACGATGCTATGCCGCAAAGAGATGCGCTCTCCTTGTTTTGCAAGGAGAGGCTTACAAGTCAGCAGCATTTTGAAAAAAATCAACTAGTAGGTTAGTGGTGGGAAGATGAAACCCAAAAGCCATCTGACATCTGTGTTAAAGCCAAGAGATGAACTTTTCAAGATTGCTGTTGCTACAACAATCACCCATGATTTCTGCTCATGACGTTCAACCATTTCAACTCTCTTTGACCATTTCTACCAAAAGGACCAGTTATGAGGGTGGCTACTCAGTGACCTGTAGCGCCTGCAGTTCTGTGGCTTGCAGGACTGTACAGATGTTGCAGAATTAAGCTTCAGCATGTACTGCAAGACAGAATAGCTCTGCTCTCTCATTTCCCAAATGAGAAAATAAGGGCTAAATAGGAGCCTAACCAGGAGCACAGCTAGAAAACACCTGCTGCTACGATCAGTGGGAACACTTCTTTTTGAGGCTCAGCTGCAGTGAGCACAGTGACCAAGAGCAATGGTGACCCTCACATTGCCAAAGCAGAGTGGCTGGTTCAAATGCAAACTCCAAACACTGCCTGAGCATCACATTAGCTGTGCTGTGGTCTCAGGATGGACGTATGGGAGCCTCTGCAGCCCAGCTAAAGTCTGAGCCTTTGGGTGCAGGAGCAGCCACATGTGGCTTAAGAACAACTTGTTCTGGTGCCTGTGAAGATGGATTAACTTTTAGCGTATGGATTTAAACATTTAGTGGACAGGCAGTGCAGGAGGTCTCAGTCTGGGGACAGTTAAACAAGCTGACATTTTCCCTGGACATTCAACTGCCAAAAGTCACATCTCCTGTGGCACCAGGTATCAGACCAGCAGCAGATGCTCCATCCGAGAGACCCAGCAGCTGTACAAGAGGTCTCCTGGGAACAAAATGTGACAGGATTACTTCCTTGTCAGTACCACCAGGGTTTTGCTGGGCTTTTGGGCCACATCTGGTGCTGTCTGTCCCTGTGCCGCAGTGATGATGGGAGAGTTCAATTGTTGAAGGGCTTGTATGAAAATGCTGCCCTCCCCAGGGCTGCTGCAGGTCTCCAGAGCATCGCTTCAGTTTCGTCTGTGTGCTGCCTGCATTTAGCACAGGAGTTTGGCACTGGCAGCACTGTGCAGGAGAGATGTGGGATTTCTAATTTAATTTCAGGTTTTCCTCTATAAATTTTTTTTAGTTTTGACCTTTCCACTAAATTGGTGAAGCTGAGAAAGCAGCCAGTGCACCACTCTGAAGGCTCTGAGATCTGTCAAATAGGCACCCAGGACAAAAGGCCTTATTTCTGCCAGTCACAGGGATTTGCTTAATTGATTTTAATTAGCACCAGGCAGATTCCCACTTTCTGCTTTAGGACAGGAGCAACTTTTCAGATTGGCCTCGAGGGGTCCCCAGGAGCCCATGGTAGGAAAGCCAGCAGCAAACCAGCGGTATGCATGTGGTGCCCACAATTCATTGATAATAAAAGCCACACAGTGAAGACACAGGTACAAGTGCTGATTTGTAGCTTTCCCCTGTCAGCAATGCTTGTCTTTCTCTTTAGGGCCAAATTAATCACCCACAGCTTTTACGCCTCTTTACGGAGCGCCACAGAGGGAGGCCACCTCCTCTGGGACACCCAACCACCACCACCAGGGCTGGACCACTCATCTCCTGCTTTCAGGGGCCACGCCATGCTGTCCTGCCAGCGCCCACCACACTGTGCTGCACCGCCACTGCACACCGACCCCTGCCTCCTTGCCAGCACAGCTAGGGACCGCAGCCAGCGTGGAAGGCGCACAGCACCAGGCTATGCCAATGTCATCTTCTGCTTTATAAATATAGATGTTTTAGATGCAAGTTTTATAGCTAAAGAGTGATAGTAGGTGATGAAGAATACATGCAATTACTTCACCCCCCCATCCGCCAGCAACACAGTATTTTCCGCTGCTCTTTCCTGGTTGTGAAAACCAGGTTTCTCAAAAAAAAGGGCTCTAATGAAATAGTTCCTTGGTACTTGAACCCAGCCAGGCTGAACAGCTGATTTACTGGTGGAAAGCAATTCCAGGTAGGAACCAAACCAAATGGCTTTTTGAAATTTGTGGCCAGTCGTAAACCAGTTTCATTCTGGGTCAGCCCAGCATTTTTTTCTAAATTCTTTAGTGTCGCCAAATCCGTACTTACCGTGGAAAAGGTGCTGTGACAGATGGCCCCTGCCCGCACTTGCCACATCACTCAGCCATGCCACCCGTGACTGGCGACTGCAACTGGGAAGGTCAGTGGGGCTTTGTGCCGGGAACGGCTCCAGCACACAGCTGTGCCATAGGGAGTGTTAGACGTCCAAGGTGCCTCCATCTGTGCCACATCCTGTGCTTCCCGAGACCAAGTCGCATGTTCCTCCCAATGTGCATTGACCACCACACATTTTATTAAAGATGCTTCAGTTCTGCTGGAAGTCGCCCCTTGTCGTAGTCTCACCGTGATGCAGGGGGTCTTGTGCAGAACTCCATGGACAGGAAACTGAAGAGTCAGGGTCTTGTTATTCTTCAGCAGGTTGTTTATTCCACCCTTGCCTTGCCTCCTACTTGTTTTGGGACAACCCTGCAGTTCACGTACATGCATGCACTCCAGCCAGAGCATATTTTATTACCATTCAATGCAAACTACAT